AGAAATGTACAGTTCAGCATTTTTACCCTTCTGAAGTGCGCTTTCTCCCAGCTGCCATGGAAACATGGCGTAACTGGTTTCTTGGATAGTCTCACTCCTCTTGAGTTCCGGCTGAGAGAGCTAGTGAGCTCATTACAACTTGGATCAGAGTCCTGGAAAGTCAGCTCCCAGGGAAAGTGGAGGCCAGTCTCTCATGGGGCACGGGAATGGGGGGCTTCAGCTTTATTAAACTGCATACATACTTTCACTACACAGTCATCCCAACCTTTAGCTCAGGACGGTGTCACATTGTTCACAGTTGTATTGCATCTTGAGGTTTCTGTGTGCATCCTACACACTTTCATAAGGCAGGGACTTATCTCTTCCAGCTGTAAGTCAGAGGGAGTGGTGCTGCAGACGCCTAGCAACACATGCGGACTCAAACAACACAGGCAGTTAACTCTCTTGAGTAGTAGACTTTTAGGGCCCCAGAACTCCGTCGCAGTTCACTGACAGTTACCAGATGTACATTTGTATGGCTTCGGTAGCACTGTGATGGAAACTAAACATTTTCCCTGCTACTTTCTTCTGGTATGCCTGAATCACTGTTTGAGAATGGATTGGACTTTGGTGCATAGAAAACTGGTGGCAGAAGTCTTATTCACTGCAGTGGATTGGGGTAAGCTGAAAAGATGTCAGGGAGGATTAACTAGAGGCAGAATGTGTCATAGTTAGAAGTATTTAGAAGGAAGGAAAGTTTGAACTGCTTTAGGGAAACTGAGAGCACTGCTAGAGCAGGAACCTTCCAGATGCTTGTCTCTGATACTGTTCCACACTAATATTCATGCCCTGAAAGAATCAGATCATTCTTGCCTCTCCCACTTGGATCTCTAGCTACTGGAATTTGCCAGTTCTTGATATGAACTCTAAGATTTGGATGGAGCTTGTGACCTCATTGAGACCATTTGTTCTGAATGCTGGATAGAACCAGGAAAATAGGAAAAGAGGGTAGAATTAGGGTCATAAGAGAGGAATTGTTCTATGAAAGAAGAAAGATGATTCGGAAACTAGGCACATGAGTTAAGAGGCAATGGAGAAGGAGGATTAGAAAGGGAAAAAAGAAGAGAAACTTTGTACCAGTATCTTCTACAAGATGTTTGGCTGGCACAGAACTAACACTCAATACTTTTGTATAAGTAAAGGAATGAAAGAAAATTTGGGAGTGGATGCTTATCCCTTGGAAACTGCTACAGGCTGGTGTTAACGGGAAAGCGATCTGTATTTGACCAAAAGTGCATTTCCACGTCTCTACATTGCTTTTTATAAAGAGCCAAAGGGACTCAATTATGAGTGTGTGTAAGGGAACTCCACACTAGCAAGTATAGGAGAAATTCGATGGTACTGGTGAAGGATGTTGTACCAATCTGGCGGGGAGGACAGGAATTGGTTTCTCACAGATTAATGCCACAAGACAACTCATACCATGAGTTGGCTGAGACCACTTTAAAAAGTAAGCAATGATGACTGGGCAAAAGAGGCAAAGGAAGAACCACATCTTTTAGGGGAGAGAGAAAGAAGGACAATTAAAGGGACCCAACTAGATCAAGTTCTACTCACCAAAGGACAGTCTCCAGGCAAACGTTAATTATCTTCAAGAAGCAATCGGTATATATAGCGTTTCAAGATACTCCAACATGCTTTAAATTTATTGAATACCTTTTATTGGCTTTCATCATAAACAAGAGACTCACAGATATATCCCAGAGGGGAGATTTTGGTGTAATTGACTATAGTAGTTATTAAATAATCTATTAATAAAAGCCCACAAAATGGAAGATAGAAAAAAGACAACACAGGTTGGTATACAGAATTTATACTTGAAGTTTAACAACACGGAACAAGAAACTTTCTTAAAATATGCATTTAAATCATTTCCAAATGAATCACCAGAGGCTTTTAGTAAAATATTGATTCTGTTTCACAGATCTGGGTAGGGCCTAAGATTCTGCATTTCTCATAAGCTCCAAGCAGATACTGATGCTATTCTTCCTCAAATCACACTTTAACTAACAAGGATCCACATAGGTTCTCTGTAATAGGTGTTGGTAGTCATCCGTGGTTAGATGTAGGTGAGGACTGCCCTCTTAACCACCTCTCGGCTGCCAGGTTATAATGAAAGCAAGTCTCAGAACAAGTTCTGTCACTTATGAGCATTTATTAGCCAGTGGGTACAAAACAATCTCACAGCCTATGCCAGAGACACAGTGAAGTCACAGTTCTGTCTTTTGGGGTGCTGGGTGTGAGAGGCTCACAGTCTGCAGAGACCACAGTCCTCTCTTAGAGTGGTTCTCAAAGTGTGGTCCCTGGACCAGCAGCATCAGCATCACCTGGAAACTTGCTAGAAATTCAGATTCCCAGGCCCTCCCCAGATGCACTGAATTAGAAAATCTGGAGGTGGGGCCTGGGAAATCTGCATCTTTAAACTATCCACTCCAGGTGATTCTGATGTTTGCTCAAGTTTGAGAACCATTGTTCTAGCAGCAGGATTCCCTCAACTGTCTAATTGAATTCTGACAACTAAGAATCCAGTGAACCACAGCTGGACATTTTGAAATTCAGCCTAGGGCACCATTTCTAAAGATGGAGAATGTACTGGATTCTTCTTAAACTCAATGTCAAGGCAGGGAATGTTTCTAAATGTTTTTCAACAATCCTAATATTTTACAAACCACTAATATCACTAACACAAGCCCGTCTAACATTAATTAGGATAATTAATGAAACCCCTGGTATAATAAGAGCTAAATATAACTGAATCATTTACAGTGGCTGCTTTTGGCTTGAGGCTTTTTGATTAATTTCTAGCCAACCACCCTTGGAGTTCATTCCTGATTAAGACAACTGACCACCTCTACAATGTAGCTTAAGCTAACACACACATACATCATAGCATACTGTTCATGTGAGTGTTTTTAAAGACTCTTAAAATTTACCTTTTGAGGGCATAATTTAAACACTACAACATGTTTCCATTTTAAGTGTACATGTTGGGTTTTGGCAAATACATACATACACTCGTGCAACCACCGTGCCAATCAAGATATAACATTTCGATCACCTAGAAAACACCCTTGTGTACCTTCGAGGTCAGTTACCCACTCCCACCACACCCCAGGCTACCATCTGGCATAGTAGCTGAGTTTTGCCTGTTCTAGAAGTTGATATAAATGAAATCAAACAGTATGTACTGTTTTGTGCCTGGCTTCTTTTACCAGCTTAATGTTTTTCAGATCAGTTCACATTGTTGCATTATCAGTAGTTAGTTCCTTTTTATTGCACAGTAGTATCCCGTTGAATGACTTTACCACAATTTGTTTATCCATTACCTTATTGGTTGATTTCCAGTTTTTGACTATTATGAATAAAGCTACTATGGACATTCATGTACACATCTTTTGTGCACATACATTTTTATTCTGTACAAATATCGAGGGAAAGAATATTTGGGTCATAATATACATGTATGTTTAGTTTCATAAAAAACTGCCTCACTGGTTTCCCAAAGTTGATGTACATTCCCAACAAGCAGTGTCTGAGAATTCCAGTCGCTCTATATCCTCACCAACATTTGGTATTCCAGTCTTTTAAACAAAATTGTATGCTGAATAGTTTAAATTATACACATCGTTTTCTTTCCCCTAGTTTAAATTCAGGCTTTTATGTTTGGTCTCTGCAATGGCCATAAAGCTGAAAATGTTGACCCAAGTGACTTGGATATGGATTGAATTATTGCCCTTTCCTAACACCTTGTTAGAATTGGTTTCGTAGGTGCCATTTGATTATGGCAGTTAGTCATGTATGTCAGTGTACTTTTTCTTTCTTTCTCTCGTTTATTGATTCATTCAGTTGGTCAATTGGCCCATGACCTGTATTAAAACAGCTTTTTCAGAGAGGAGTTGCATATTAAGTTGCTGGGGAAAATGACAGAAGTAGGTGACAGAGTTCTTGTCTTCAAGGAGCTTTTTGGAGCTGGGTTCCTGAAATAAATGTAGCCCAGTATCTATCAAGGCTTCTGCAGACTTGAGTAAGAACATCATCTAAATATAGCTTCCTGCTAGGTGACGTGAGTCAGGGCTTGATAGACCGGTGACTGCAGAAACCACAGTAACATATATTGTTGTTATTCTGTGCTGAACATTAGAATGATTGTACCTTAGAATATAGAGCCAAATGTTTATTTTAATCCTAATTATATTTTTAAATACATATCACACACATAGACACATATGTTGGATAAAAAATACCCAAAATGTTAACAGTGCCTATTTGAAAGATTTATATAAACTTTTTTTTGTAGAGATGGGATCTCACTATGTTGCCCAAGCTAGTCTCAATCTCCTGGCCTCAAGCACTCCTCCCACCTTGGCCATTCAAAGTGTTGGGATTACAGGCATGAGCCACTGAGTCCAGCCAATTGTGCCTGTTTTTGAGTTTATGGGCTTGTGGATGATTTCTTTGATTATATATATATATATATATGTATGTATAAAATGTCTAAGTTACCCAAAGTGAGCATGTGTAACTTCTACAGTCAGAAAAAATGTTATATTGCCACTTGATTGTTTAAGGTCTTAGAGCTATTTAAATAATGTATTGCTTGTTCTCTTTGATCTTGTGCAGCAAAAATTCACTACAGTAGATCCAGATTACTTTCCAGAAAAAAATAATGCCTGTCCATCTCTTTCCTCTTGGAAACAGGACTACATGAATGCCCTTCAGGCTATACCACTGTAGTCTTCACAGAACTTAGCCTTCCTGATTGTCAAAGGGCAAAAGGAATTATTTTTTCTTTTCCCACATTAACAGAATTTTCACCTCCGAAAGCTTGGTGCATACACACAATATTTCTTCTAGGCTATTTTTGTGGTGGTTGTAGTTACTGGCAAATCACTGTGGGGGGTGGGGGGTTGTCTGTGTTTTCTGATGGAATAACAAATGATCTTTGTTTTCCCCCTTTTCAGCTGACCTGAATAATGTCAGGTTCTCAGCTTATAGGACTGCCATGAAACTCCGAAGACTGCAGAAGGCTCTTTGCTGTAAGTATTGGCCAGTACTTGAAGATCTTGATACTATGTCTTTGCTTAGAATAAAAAGTAGGTTGGGTACATTTTTACTTAGAGAGGGGAGAAATAGCTGTCACAATTCCTGTTACAACATAGAATTCATTCTTTAATGTATCCTTGGCCTAGAGTTTGCCTAGAATGTTTTGTTTTATTTTTAGAATCATTCCTGTCACCATTCCTCAGCTACTGATGTTGAATTAGGATATTGATAATTTTTATTTTCCAACTACTGGCATTGGCATCCATAATTACCTTTGTGAAACTTGCACTGTCTCTCCTTGTTCTACCTTTGTTTTTGTTTTTTTTTTTCTTTTTACAAAATGTACTTAGTATTAGAAGACTGTGACTATCTGATCCAAACCAAAGTTCATAGACATGTGTGGTTTATTAGCTTGAATGCCAATGTGAAGATGAATGATGTGGTAGAGGAAAAATGACAGAATTGCTTTCCTCCTTTTTTATCATACATCTGTGGAAAAATCCTGAAGTGTTACACAGCTCTATCATGTCATCAGATAGTTTATGTATAACTCTACTATTGTCTGAGGGTCTGTATGCATTGATGACATGCCCATGAAACAGGCACAGTTTCCTTTTTTTTTTTTTTTTTTGAGTTGAAGTCTTGCTGTATTGCCCAGGCTGGAGTGCAGTGGAGTGGCGCAATTTGGGCTCACTGCAACCTCCACCTCCCGGGTTCAAGCGATTCTCCTGCCTCAGCCTCCCAAGTAGCTGGGATTACAGGCATGCACCACCATGCCTGGCTAATTTTTGTATTTTTTAGTAGAGACGAGGTTTCACCATGTTGGTCAGGCTGGTCTCAAAATCCTGACCTCAGGTGATTCACCTGCCTCAGCCTCCCAAAGTGCTGGGATTACAGGCATGAGCCATTGCGCCCGGCCCAACAGGCACAGTTTCTACTCTGATGGAACTTACAGTCTAACAAGGGATAACCAGGATGTTCATAAAATTTGTAGACTTAAGCAAATATATGTATAATGTATTAAGAATGTCTACAGTTGGTTAAAAAAGAAAAGTGATCTTGTCTCTATTTCCAAGACCATTTATTTCAATGTCATATATTTAGTTGTGCAACAGTGGGATAATGGGGCACTATGTGAACAACTAACTGTGTGGAATGAGATTCAGAGAATGTTTGTTTGAAGAGGTGATGTCTAAGCTAGGTAAGTCTAGAAGAGTAAGCAGCTCTCCCTCTAGGAAAAGTGTTCTAGTCAGAAAGAAGAGCATGTACCGAAGGGCCCAGAGAAAGCATGACACATTCAGGAACTGAAAATATGTCAGTATGGCTAAAGCACAGAATTCCAGGGGAAAGATCTGTTGTGAAATAATAGGCTGGAGAGAGAAGCAGGAAGCAGATTGTGCAAGGTTTTTAAAACCCAAGTTAAGGAATTTAGAGGTCAGGAGATTTGGCCTGGGAGTGATATAATTAGATTGTCGCTTAGAAAGATGATTCTTGCTGTGGAACAGAGTATGGATTGGTGTGCTGTGGGAGTGACAGGAGAGAAACCTGTTGCAGTAATCTAAACCAGCAATGTTGTGACTTGAATTAGCAGAGTAGTAATGGAGATAAGTGGAGAGAATTTAGAAATATTCAGGAAGTGGATTTGACAGGCCTCGATGATTCATTTGATGTGGTGCAGGGGTGTCCAATCTTTTGGCTTCTCCGGGCCACATTGGAAGAAGAAGAATTGTCTTGGGCCACGCATAAAATACACTAACACTAGCGGTAGCTGATGAGCTAAAAAAAAGAATATGGCAAAAAAAAAAAAAATCTCATAATGTTTTAGGAAAGTTTACTCATTCATTTGGGTCTCATTCAAAGCCACATCCACAAAGCCATCCGCATGTGGCCCACGGGCCACAGGTTGGACAAGCTTGATGTGGTGGGTGAAAGGCAGTCAAGGAAGACACTTAGGTGCTTGGCTTGGAATATCAGGTGAATGGGGACTTGTCTGGTAAGGTTAGACACGGAGCTGTGGTGCTCAGGAGAAATATACAAACAATATTTAGGGATCATGAGCCTGTAGGTGCTGCTTGTAACCGTGGAGAGGATTGGATAGCTCCAGGAAAGTGTAGAGTGAGAAGGGAAGTTATTTAGGACACAGGATAAGCAACCTACAGAAGGGACTGCAAAGGAATGGCCAGCAGGAAAGAAGGAAAATTCCAAGAGGTTATGATGCCACATACTCCATGGGAAGAAAGAAAGAACCCATCACCAGGATCAGATGTTGCTGGGATGTCAGGATAAAGTTGTGGAAAGTGCCCATTGGATTTAGCAACAGGAAGGTCCCTAGTAATTTTGGTGAGATTTTAGAGGCACAGTGGAAGTGGTGTGGTGAGTTCAAAAGTGAACCAAAAGTGGGGAATTAGAGATGGTATGAATGATTCTTGGAGAAATTTACTTATGAAGGGGAGAAAAGTGGGGTGGTAGCTAGTTGGAGGGGGCTGAGGAGTTAATGGAAATGTATGTACAGTCAAGTGTTGCTTAACAATGGGGATACGTTCTAAGAAATGTGTTGTTAGGCAATTTTGTTGTTGTGTCAATATAAGAGTGCACTACACAAACCTAGATGGTATAGCCTAGTACACACCTAGGCTGTATGGGATAGCCTGTTGCTCCTAGGCTATACACCTGTACAGCATGTGACTGTTCTGAATACTGTAGGCAGTTGTAACACAATAGTAAGTATTGTATATCTAAACATAATTAAACATAGAAAAGATACAGTGAAAATATAGTATAATCTCATGGGCTCGCTGTCATATAGGCAGTCCATTGTTGACTGAGATGTCATTATGTGGCACAATATGTGTATATAAATATGTGTGTGTGTATATATGTGTGTATGTGTGTGTATATATATGATCCTTGAACAACATGGGTTTGAACTGCTTGGGTCAACTTAAGTGGATTTTTTTCAATCAAGTGCAGGCCAAAAATACAGTATTCCTGGGAATGTATTTATATCAGTATGAGAAGACAGGGTGAGATTACAATTATTGGCCCAAGAGGAGATGATAAATAACGTGAGTTCTCAGAGAATATGGGCAGGTAATCCAGAGCCCAAGGGAGGGAAGAGATACCTCTCTTCCACTGTAATGGGTGGGGTCGAGGGAAGGATCTGGGCAGGTCCACGTAACTAAGAAACCAGGTAGCAGCAAGGTGAGGGATGTCTTACTATAAAGGCTTCCGTTTTTTTGTATGGAGAGGAGAGTCCCTGCAATGCAGTTAACAGCAGGAGATGATGAAATTGGGCTTATCTTTGTGGAGAATAAGAGAGATGGCAGAGTTGAAAACCAGCTCTGTGAACCCAGAGGCGGCTGAGTGTTTCACGGTAGCACCAGTCTGCAGGGGTGTGGTATTCCCCAGGCACACTTAGCAGTTAGGAGCCAGATGCTTCTGTCCTGGGGTAGGCAGAGAACAGCTGGGCAAGAGAAGTGAGGATTTGGGCAAAAGAGTGATTAAAATGATACTGACAAGTCCCTGTTGGGTAGGAGAAGCTGTGAATGCATATGGAAACTGGTAATTAGGAGGTAGAGGGATGAAAAGGCTAACTCTTCAGGGAGGTGGGGGAAGAAGTAGTAAAGGAACTGAAGGTCGAGAAGTTGTGGTTAGAGAGAATCATAGATGAACATTATTTTGAAGGTGGAACAGTTTCAGGTGATCAGATCTCGGGTATGGCTATTTGAGTAGGTGGCAGACAGAGGTAGAGTGGATGTGAATTTCCATGGAGGTGAAACAGCAGGTTAAGGAACTGAGAGGCTAGAGTGATGCATGAGTCTCCCATGCCAGTGTTGAAATCATGCAGAATTGTAGCGAAAACTGGGCAAAAGAGAAGGACCACAAACCCTGGCTGCCAGGTCTTCAGAAATAAAGTGGTTCGACCAGAGGATCTGCAGAGGCTAGCAATAAGATAGTCAAGGAGTCACCTGGCATATGGTTCTTACACGGAGATAGAGAAGAAATGCCTTAGAAGTGGAATTATTTGGAAAGAGAGACTAGGCCTTTTCCCTTCATCTTGGTATCCCCAATGCTTAGCACAAAACCTGGCACACAGCAGGGTTCAATATGTTTTCATGAAATGAATGCATGAATGAAAGTAAACCAAGGCTTCCATTTCCTTATAGCCTGAAGTTAGCATTTTTCAGCTATATAGCTGCCAAGTTTAACTGGCGTTTAAAGGGCTTTCCAGGTCGAGGATTTCCTTAGGACCTGTTAATGCATCACAGCTGAGAAAAAGTAGTTTGGGATGGGACTGAGTCAGGGGGCTGAATAGAGAAAGTTGTCTTGCCTCTTTCTCTTCCCCTGCCCCTGCCCCTGCTCCATCCCAGAGCTACTGTTTCCCTTTAATAAAGGAGTAATTAGGCACTGGGTTATTATGAAGTGCTATAGAATATTCCTGTGAGATCCTAAAAGTTCAAAAGATAACCAGTTGTTCCAGTTTATACTATGAAAAAAAAAAAAAAAAAAAAAAAACAGAAATAGACCAGATGGAAAACCTCATAACGACTGTTCCTTTCTATAATGTCCATTTTCACCCTGGATTTAGGCACTATTCGATTTTCCTGTTCAAAAAATAATTCCATTCACATATGTGTTTTATTGTCTGTCATTTCAACTTATAATTTCCAATAAACATTGGGAAAATGGGAGAATTTAATAATATACAAAATTTTGTCCATTTGAGGTGATAACCTTGTAATAAAGGTAAGCTCTGAATGTAGAATCATTTCTTTAAATTTTCACTTTTAAATCAATTTGAAATTCTCTGCATTTCCTTTCTGAGCTTGGCTTTTCTAATATGTGAAAAAAATTCAAGTATGCCAAAATTGAGGTGTATTTCTCTAAATTAAGTATGTAATTCTCATTAATGCTAGGAGGGTGCCATATATAGTAAGACTATAGAATGAAGAGTTCACCCAATCCTTTTATTGAAAATATGTGTGGTCACATT